TAGAATTATGTATTGCAACACTTTCTGCAGGTAAGAGTATTGGGTTGCTTTTGCATACTTCAATTTTTCTCTGCCTTTTCTGCCTGTCATTAGCTTTTTAATTCAGCCATCGGCGTAAAAAGATGAATGAAAGAGGGAAATTTTGTTACTAACATGAGATTGAATTAATAGTGGCTTTAGGCCTCGGACAGTATTAGTGGAATAACTGGGCCTTTGCTTGGTACATCATTTTCTTTCAACAGCAGACCCTTCCACCAAGTTGCTGTAGTGGTTTTGGCCCTTTGGGGAAAACGGAGCCTAATGGCACCTACGTGGTGGATTAGAGATAATAAAAGCTTTCGAGGGGCTTGAGGAGAGAGTTTCAGGAACCAAAATACCCTGGATGGAATTTACCAAGTGAAAAAGCAAATGAAAGGGGGCAGCTGGTGTCTGGAGCAGGGCAGCTCTGAGAACAGACAAAGGAATTGAAATCATTTGGGAATCGAATGATTTCCCCAGTTCAGGGAAAAGACTCTGTTTAAGTGTGGGTCATGTGGTTAACCGGCACTGCGAGGAAAGCCACGAGGGGAAAAAAAACCCACAGAAGTTATGGCAGTGTTGGTACTTCCTGGAGGAACAGGTAAGCAGATTCTACAGTTTGCTGGAGAGTCTGATCGATGAAATAGTTTTGACATCTTCAAATATTGGCTGATATGTTTTAGAAAGGACTTTGTGTATTTAAAAAAAACCCAACACAACAAACCACACAGCAGCTGACTGTTCTAGGGGAGTTGCTGCTTTACTCTAGAAATCGCTAATAATCGGAGATACACAAAAAATATTTCCAGGTTCAAAGCTTCTCTATTAACAGGGCATTAGCATCTGCAGGAACGAGTTTGACTCGTAGAAAATGGCTCAAACTATTTCTGTTTATTTTGCAGTTTGTAAAGACTGTATTATCACAAGGACATCTGACGCCACTTCCGCTGTACGTTAGCCCTGTGTACTGGGCCTATGACTACTCCCTGAGGGTGTATCCTGTGCCAGATATGCTCGTCATTGCAGATAAATACGACCCATTCACTGTCACCAACACTGACTGTCTTTGCATAAATCCTGTAAGATTTCCTTATGCTTTACCAAAATAAGAAGGGGGTGCAGTCACATCCAGGTGTGTCTCTTACTATTTGTACAGTATTTTACTTAGACAAGCGTGGTATATTCATTTTTCTTTACAGGGTTCATTTCCAAGAAGTGGATTTTCATTCAAGGTATTCTACCCCTCCAACAAGACAGTTGAAGACAGGTAAATATATTCAGTTTCTCATTTAAAAGGAAGTACCTTCTTATTTGCTGACTTTCTGATTATCAGGATAACACAGAAAATCGGTTATATAAACAGAGTGAATGTTCTAGCAGTTTAACATAGACTTATGCTTCATACTTAGCAGTGTAAGAAATCCAAACGCCCAGAACTAAAATAATAAATTTAGAAATTAGTCAAATAACAATGATGAGAAGCATGATCCAAAAGTAAAAGGAAAGACAGACTGTACTATATGATTTTCAATAATTGAGACCCAATTGGGAAACAGATTCATTTCTGGAGATGATGCTTGTTACATAGGTTAATTACACTTAGGAACAATTCTTGCTTCATTTTGTGATCATCGTCAAGCCCGGAAGCCACTTTCATGCTTTGATTTAATGTATTTTAAACCTGTACTTACTCATTCCGACTGTGGTCTTCCAATGCCTGGAAGAAAGGCCAGCTGCAACACCAAAAAGTATGAAAGGGCTTACGACTGTGATGAAAAGTTGCCTGTTTGAAATAACGATGGCAGAACCCAATGGGAAAAGCGCAGTTGCCTTGCCTGATTCAGTGTCATGCCTCGTGGCAGAGGTTGCGTTTGTCTCAAACGGGGGCGTGTAACACCCCCCACCCTCCCAAGGGAATTGCTACTACATCGACCCATGTAACCTTTACTTGAATATAGAAAATATCGCACCATGAGATGCTTTAGGTCTTTAAATAGTTCAGAACATTATCAAGTCTTTCATAAATCAAGGAATAGAATAATACGTTATTTATTGTGAAGTTGCTTTTTAAAAACTACATACTGTTTTTGTTTGGTATTTTCAGCAAGCTTCAGGGTCTCTGAATTTCTGCGAGACTGCAAAAAGGGAGTGAGCCTTTGTAAAGCCAACTAGCACTCATCTGAGATGGATTGATTTTTATGATGTATCACAGACTGTTTATAATAAATGTCAAAGCCAAAAATGGTGTATTTTGTACACAAATAAACTTTTACAGGAAACGATACTGGTGTTAATTTAGTGAAATGTAGAGTCACGGTGAAGATTAATTGGCAAAGCATAATAAAAGAAGGCAACTGGAGGAACCAGAAGCACGTATATCAAACAGGAAATATCTAGCTTTTAAAAAAAAGAAGTTAAAGATAGGGAGAACTTTGTCTTTCACCACGCTGAGTTGAACTGATAGCTAGTTATCTACAGGAGATACTGGAAATGCGGGCTGGGGTTTTTCTTTGGACAGGAAAGGTCTGGAGAAGATTGCGAGGCGTTATTTACTAATGGCAGTATATAATCTGTTTGCGGCTAATGTTATGCAGGCAGGGCGGGGAGAGGTAAGAGGAACAAGGACGTGGTCCTTTGAAACGTCTGCAGAAGGCAGGGAGGAGGCAATCTTGCTGAAGGAGCAATCAGGAAGGTGGGAAAGAGTCAGGGCCTGGCAGCGCTAACTTCTGCATCAGCAGTCGGTTTAGCTTACAGCGGAGAGCAGCCTGTCGGGACGTGGACCTGGTCCCTTTTCAACGGAACTAAGCAAAAACCTGCTCCAGCCACTCGCGGGCATCAAGACCGTGGGACCAGACTGGTGCTACCCCAAAGCGCCCAAATCAGGTGTAGAGCAGACAGGGGACCCTCAGCGCCGGCTGTTTTGTTTCACAGACCCTTTCCTGCTGTGCTGGCATCGACATGAGCGTGGCTCAGGGGGCAGGAGGGGGAGGAGGACAGCGGGGTACGGGCTCTGGAGGGGCCATTGGGGTGTGGGTGGAAGCCGGGTACAAGAGGTGGAAGCTGAACTGCCGAGGATCTAATCTCAAACCACAGGAGAGACTGCGCCAGCACTTCTGAATGTGCTCCCCGACCCTCAGCCAGGAGGGGAAGGCAGTGCTAGCTCAGGGACGTGGGGCAGGCAGGGAACACGAGCCTTGCAGAGGGATGAGCGGGAGACAGTGGAGAGCCACCCCTGTGGAAGACCGGGGTGAGGGCCGAGAGCCAGCACGAAGCCACTGAGGTGAAAGGAGGGGAAAGGCTCAGCGAGGCCAGAACGGCGGGCTCACAAGCAGAGAGGAATCGGACTCTGAGGAAGACCACTGGGGGAGGGCCCGCCATATTGTTTGGCGTCTCCATAGCAACTGGCCGGAGGGTCCGGCAGCTCCATCTCGTTTACTGTCACCATAGCAACGACCACGGCCGGCCTGGAGGCGCCATCTTGTTTGGCGTCTCCACAGCAACGAGAACGGCCGGGCCGCACCGGGCCGAAGCCATGGCGGGCGGGGGG